AGAGCCATCTCTGGGTTCTGCTTTTAAGGCTACCTTGGAATTCTGTACTTCAGAGCAAGCTTTTTCCAGGCCTCCTATTTCAAGCAAAACCTTTTGAAGGTTGTGCAGAGAGTTTTATGACAAGGGGCCTTTACCAAGAGTAGGTTGTGTGGTCTGTTCAAAATGAATTGTGGAGAAAACACTGCCTCAAATGTGTTTTTAATAGGATAGTTATTGGACATTCAATAGCAAGTGAACCTCAAAATCACAGATGTGTATCTATTATGCAGTGGATAATCCTCAACGGGGCTGCTTTCTTAACTAATTATCTCTTAGTTAATGAACATACAATAACTAATAAAACTTAAAAGGGAAGCCTTTAATTGCTCTACTGTTAGTCTACTAATTAAAAATATTTGTTAAGCTTAAGCAGATAGTAATTCTATTCTTGGTTTGGTACATCTTGAGGGAGTTTTTGATTTAAAGCAGTTGGAAAGAAACCTTTGTCATTTTTCAGGACATGGGTAGGGTATTACTGGAGACTTGAGAATTGTGTTGAGGAAGGAAGGAAGGAAGGAAGGAAGGAAGGAAGGAGAAAGGGAAGGAAAGAAGGGAGGGAGGGAGGGAAGGGGAAGGAAGGGAAAATCCCTGCCATTGGTCTGAGCACAGGAGAAAGGAAGGAAGGAAAGAAGGAAGGAAGGAAGGAAGGAAGGAAGGAAGGAGAGCTGTGTGCTCTAATGATGCACTTTGAATTAAACATAAGCTCAAGGGCTTGATAGTGATGTCATGTAGGTAGATACCTGTATAATGAGTGTCTTGGTTTTTTTACTGTCTGTTATCATGCTAAGCCATTATAATACTTAGCACTTAGACATATGCTGCTTTAGTGCTTCACAGCCCTCTCTCAGCATGTTGCTCCCAACAATCTGGGTCCTCATTTTACCGACCTCAGAAGGATGGAAGGCTGAGTCAACCTTGAGCCGGTGAGAGTCAAACTGCTGGCAGCCGACAGTCAGCAGCAATAGCTTGCAATACTGCATTCTAACCACTGTGCCACCATGGCTCATTATACTAACTGTTTTTTAACTGGTGGGGTGGGGTGTGAACCCAGCATTGTGGCTTGTAAGCAGTATTTATGGCTTAGTCCAGCGTGCAACACCTGCCAACAGTGGTTGATTCAACAAATCTTGAAATCATGGCTTAGCCTCGTGTGGGTACTGTCATTCAGATGTTGCCGGCTATGGCAAGGTAATCCCATATACAAAAATAAAACTCCGCTTCAGCATGGAAGGCAGTTGTGGCTATCTATTCCAATAATGTATGCTAGCGGCCTCTTCTTTGCACATAAACAGATCCATTTTTCAACAGCGTAATCAGTCTGCTTCTATTAAGCTACTTAACAGCAATGAGTTGTGGTTCATTAGGTAGCTACTGTTGTGTCTCCGTCTAGTTAAAATTTCACAGCGAGTTAATCTATTTTATTACAAATGAGAACACATGCAATCATGTTCCTGGCATTTTCCAAACACAGGGTTAACAGTATTTGTAACAAATCAATGAGGACATTGCAATTGGAAAATGGCAGGCCGGATAGGCTAAGCATCTTCACCTGTTGACGACTTCATTTTTTTGTCGTTTGTGGAATTTACATCTCCCTGCCACTCTCTGTATATATTTCAGTTCTCTTCTAAAAATCAGCTGTAGTCCGGCTAACTCCAGATATATAAACTCACCTTCTGGGTAGCTGATAGCCATACATCTGTGTGCACCCACACAGGCATTACCATCCAAATATGTTAAAGGTAGCGTTTCCAACTCAGGTTAAGCCAGCTTTGCTTATGAGCCGAGGTGGCGCAGTGGTTAAATGCAGCACTGCAGCTACTTCAGCTGACTGCAGTTCTGCAGTTCGGCTGTTCAAATCTCACTGGCTCAGGGTTGACTCAGCCTTCCATCCTTCCGAGGTGGGTAAAATGAGGACCCGGATTGTTGTTGGGGGCAATATGCTGACTCTGTAAACCGCTTAGAGAGGGCTGAAAGGCCTATGAAGCGGTATGTAAGTCTAACTGCTATTGCTATTGCTATTTGCAAAGGTTGTATTGTTACAGGGGCAGGAGCAAAATATGTATGTGCTCTGAACAAAAACCACAATATCGATTTTCCTTGCTCCTAAAGGATTGAAGAACGCTAAAAATGCCAATTATTGGTCCACTATAGTCTGGACATCTAGAGCTCCAACTATTTGTATATGGACCTGACCACAGCATAGATATTACATCATCTTGGACTCATTTTGTAGGTTAGCCCGTTTGAGGTATATTGATTTGAAAATTGTTTCCTTAGGATGCACCATTTTGTCTGAGGGTTACAAACAATCTAACAGACATAAGAGTTTTAATATTTGCACCATTCAGGTGACTGTTATGACACAGATAAAACTGTAGGTGACCTTAACAACCCACTAAAAGAATGTAAATGACCAGCTGTCTGCCAGGAATATACGTCCTTCCATTCCCCACCATCCAGTCTGAGCTGAAGAAGCTTCTTGGATGAGAAGTGAAACGTCTTCTACGAAAAAACTCCCGAAAGTCCAGTTGCCTCTTGAACAAGCCCTTTTGGGACAAGAGTTTTAATAGTGTATAAATCAAACTGGAAGGAATCCCATCAAAAGACTCCTCCTCAGAAGAAAAAGCTCATGATGTTGTATTCCTTTGGTATGAACAGGATAGCATCATTTGATTGTGAGGATACTAGTTCCGAAGACATAGTAGAACAAATGACACCTCTGCTCTCTCAGAAGAATTGGTTATAGAATACGATGCACCCCTTAAATATAAACAGGTTGTCTTACATCAAGATGTGGTTGAATCTCTGTAGCTGAGTGGAAATTGTTCTACTGTTGAAGTTCACAGTCTTACTGACATGAACATTCTGGGGAGCTGTCCAAGGTGCTATTTTTTTTGATGTGCATTAAACTGCTTTCCATAAAATTGCTTAATAATGCACAGATTTTCCGATTTTTTTGGGCTAAAGGTAAAGATAAACGTTCCCCTTGCACATATGTGCTAGTCGTTCCCGATTCTGGGGGCCGACACTCATCTCTGTTTCAAAGCCGAAGAGCCACTGCTGTCCAAAGACGTCTCCGGGTTCATGTGGCCGGCATGACTAAACACCGAAGGCGCACGGAATGCTGTTACCTTCCCACCAAAGTTAGTCTCTATTTTTCTACTTGCATTTTTTCCTTGTTTTCAACTTGTTGGTTTGGCGTATGTTGGACAAGTAATGGGAGCTCACTCCGTTACACGGCGCTAGGGATTCGAACTGCCCAACTGCCAACATTTCTGATTGACAAGCTCAGCGTCTAAGCCACTTTTAAATCCCTGACTGTTATCTATACTGAATGGAAGGCTAGGTGTTTATGTTGATATTCTACATCATTTTGTTGTATTTCTCTGAAGCCAGTGGCCCCGAACATTTTTGGTACCAGGAACCAGTTCCGGGGAGGATGGGGGTGGGGACAAATTTCCATGGACCAGAGGGGACATGGTTTTGCATGCTGCCTGCATCCCATGAATGGGGCTTTGCTTGTTTGCACGGAGCGGTTTCTGATGTGCTGCGGCCCACTGCCAGTCCATGCCCCGGTGGTTGGGGCTCCAGCAAAAATCTACTGAATAGGGTAGACCATAAATTCAATAAAGAGGGGTGCGATGGCTCAATGGTTAATCATGCTGAGTTTGTTAGCTGGAAAGCTGACAGCCTGGGTTCGAGACCCAGATTCGAGATTCAACTGAGCTCCCGTTCCTTTCCTCAGCTCCTGCCCAACTAGCAGGTAAAAAGCATGCAAATGCGAATAGATAAATAGGTACCACTTCTGTGGCAAGATAACAATATTCCGCACACCTTGGC